CCCCCTCCCTCTCTGCAGATAGCCCCAGGGGGTGAGGCTGGGTTGCATCAGTCCAGCCCCAATCGCGTGACAAATTAACTCTAGGGAACACAAGCTCCGTAAAGAGGTCTAAAGCAGAGCTCCTTCATCTGATACCTCATTTGAGCACAATTGGCCACTTTAAATGTGCTCTGCAGTAGTAGACATGTGTCACAGCATGGCTGTCAAGCGCTTTCAGGGGGCTATCACAAAAAATGTAACTTCTGTCTGTGCCCATAGCACCTTCTTTATCTCTGAAAGCTTGTCTGATGTCTCCTAGTTGGTCCAATAAAAGATATCACCAAAAAATCCCTTGCTTGATCTAGCAGGGCAGTTAAGCATATAACTTTAAGCATATAATGAGAAATTATTCTGAAGATTATTTAACTGTTGATGCTTAAAATTATGGCTGTCACATTTTGGATGGCTCAGTTGCTTAAATTTTACTACTGTGAGTACTCAAGAAAAAATAAGCTTCAAAAAAAGTTGTAGTGTTGTTGCAGCTGTGATGTTCAAGAAGGGTATGTTGCGGGGTATGTTAAAATAGAAAGGTTTGCTTGCTTAGGAGATATGTTAGACAGGCTGTCAGGCACAAAACGTCCTTTGCAAGAAGCAGTAATTCTTTGGTATTATCTTTTATTGGACCAACCATATAGTTGGGAAAGATATTAGACAAGCTCTGGGAAACAGATCTGACCTGAGGTAGAACATTTTCTGTCTGAAACTTGTCTAAAGTCTTTCCCAAGTATATAGTTGTTTCAATAAATTATATTACTAAGCATGTCTTGCCTCTTACAAACTTCAAGAAAAGCAAATATGAAACTTGGATATTGATGTATTTGCTGAAAACATATTTAAAATTACATAATTCATTGTAAAATGTACCATTTTCACTCTGGTTATTTACATTGATTATTCAAGCAGAGGCAATACAAGCTGACTTTTGTAATATTACTATAATTTAAGTTGGCATTGAATTTAAGCATAATTTCTGTTTCATGGTAAGGGACTGTTCCAAAGTTCATTGAAGTGACTGGTAAGAATTGCAGCCAAGTCATCGTCTTCTTCTAATGTCCTGTCTGAGATTGTTGATGATATATATTTAGCAGAATTTACAGATTTGTTAGGATCTGACAGGACCACAACATGAGCACTTCTGCTATGGCCATTATGGCAGTTGGAATAATCAAGTTAATTGTATGTAATTAAGGAAAAGAAGTAATACTCTGGAAATGAAATCCAACCCCATTTAAAGCTAATAAAAAATTGCCATTAACTTCATTAGAGTTAGATTTATGTGATTTTTCTGAAAGAGTGAACATTTTCACAGCCCAAAAATAAGTTACAGGCCAAGACTAATTTGTTAAGAAATATATAAATAATTGTAACACGAACTTGAGAATTTAAAGATGTTTGTGATGATTCACAAATAGAAAACAAATTGTAATTAGAGTGAATTATTTACTTTTATCTATGATTGGTGAGAGAGATATCAGTGAATTATTTTTGCATTGAAAAATTAGACTATAGTATCTCTTCTCACCAGTTCAAAATTCCCACCAGTTCAAATTTTCCCTGAAAAAGACAGAAGTCCTGCTTTTATTTAGTGGTAATATTACATCCCAGCCCTGAGGAAAAATCTATGCATACAAATAATTATAAAGTTGTAAAACAAATCTGGAGGATAAAAAATACAAAACTTTTATATTTGTGGTTTGTGA